TATAATGTATATATTATACAATATATGTGTATGTGTGTTTGTATGTGTGAGTGTGTGCGTATGTTTATATACAGTATATATGTATGCATGTAATATATATTACATATCAACATTGGCATAGGGGTTGTTAGCTAAAACTAAGCTTGGCACGTGCTAAACAGATGTCTTAGCTGTGAATTACGCCCACTTGCAACCCTTTATGAGCCAGCGTTATTCAGCCATATATATATATATATATATATATATATATATATATATATATATATATAAATAATATTACAAATATGTATATATATATATATATATATAATATTACAAATATGTATATATATATATATATATATATATATATATATATATACAGACATTCCTGGAATTGTGGGGTCTTCTTTGTGAGACATGGTTGTGAGGCACAATGAGAGAATGTGTTGTGGGGCATAATATATATACACTTATATATACCCCACAACTTTTATATGCCCCACAATAGTATCTCAGAAAGGCATTTCATATGCCTCACAATGTTGTTTTTCTCGTAGTTTAGTATACACTTATATATACCCCACAACTTTTATATATGCCCCACAATAGTATCTCACAAAGACATTTCATATGCCTCACAATGTTGTTTTTCTCGTAATTTAGTATATTATACTTTTCTACGGAAAAAACATGCTTTATTATGCTTTCTGTGTTTTTAATGTATATATAACCCAATAGGCCTACCTCATAAACTGTTATGATGCCTCGGAAATTGGTTAGCCAGTCCCCAGTCAAACCAAACACACATGTACCGATGTATATGGGTTTACAAATAGCACAATAGTTTATTAATTTTAAAATTATTTTTGAATTAATATTCATCCTTATCAGCCTCCTTCTTAGTAACTTCACACTCTACGAAGAAGTGAGCTAGCCTTAGGAGTAGCCTAAATATGTTCTGCCAGTGACGTTATTTAGGCCTAAGGTAAGAATGTTTTCATTAATTATTTCTACATGCTGGCCAAGAACCCGCTCCTCGGGAACGGAAAGAAGTAGCGGGTTCTTGGGCAGGGTTTTTTGTGGGATTTTCATTCGTGAAGTTCAAATGTGCATATTTTCACACATTGGTGACCTTGTTCGATTCCTTTCAACAGTTTAAATGATCAGCTTGTGCAAATGAAGCCTACCAATGTTGTCTTCCACTTCCACCCATAACTGTCAGAAAACAAAGCCTTGTATGCCCGTCATCTGACCCTGGTGTTGGTGTTAGCCTGTTAGGCAGCTAATCTTCTCCAAGAACGTAAAACATTACTATTAAATTAATTTGTAAATTTGGATTCATTACATGTACCGTACTTTACTTCTATGGTTATTGATGGTCAAGAAAATTCTTTCAGAGCTCATATTCTGCCTAAAATTGGATAGATTTGTTGAAAGTTAGAAACTCCACACTGGACTAGCCAGCCGGTAAGGTGGCTGAGCGACTCACAAACTTTTTTCTCATTGTCAGCAAGAGGCTTGTGGGACGCCACTTTAACGTTTATTCCAGGTGGTCTTTCGGAGACATTCTTAACATTCTGGTGCCCCACAAGGGGACCAAGTGCTCCGCCTCTGATACATAGAGTACTTAATGTCCAGAAGGGTGGAGTTAAGTCCAAACTGGACTAGCTACTGTGCTAGACCTCAGTGTCATTTCAGTACCACACCCATCGATCCATTTCTCTCCCCAAATATGTACGTGAGGACATCATTTATTTTTCATTTTAAGTGCATAGCATATAAAATGTCCACACATGCAGAATTTGGGGAGTTTCGATTTTAAAGACCGTGTTCAGGTTGCCTGACATTACTGGCGTATGCAGTATGTGTGTGGAATATCTTTAACAAATTGGCAACCGAGCAGCTGAACTGTGATATGCCCACAATAAGGGAACAGATAGGATTGCTGACATGGTATCAGTATACAGTGGCTAATTCTGATTTACAGGGTGTGCTCCCAGGGAATCCCGCCTGGCAAGCACATTTGCTACATACATTTGACCAAGAAAAGTATGTCAACATTGAAATATTTGAATTTGTGTTTATTTGGTAGTTTCATAGTTTCAACCCAAGACAAAGTAGAAAGAATATAATACTAATTGACAAAAGACAAAAAAGAATACGAGTTTCATCTGCAATTGCAATTGTTTACTTTCAAACAATATGAATCTTAAAAAGAAATCTGAATATTCAAAATATTTTTCTGAAGGCCCACCCCAAAAATGAGGGTCACATTTACTGCTTGGGAAATACAGTCGAGCACATGTATATTTATATCAGATAGTTGATTAAGAAACAAATCAGCCTATACATGAGTCCATTTCCATGGGTCTTTTAGTGTCATCCCTGCAAAGCATGATATTGCCATTTCCACATCGACTTAGCTGCAAAAGAGGACAGTGATTTTTTCAAGATTTTACAGGTCGAAACTTTGTCACAAAATAAAAAGTTTATATGAAATCACCGATATGAATCAAAATTGTGCAAGGGTAATTAACTAAAAATTGAATGTGTACACTCTTGTGTCCTATGAATGATTACATGCAGATGTTTTGTCACAAATGTCCAGGGCATGGAAACTCTAACCGAGCTTCACTCCCTAGACGACTCCAAGGACATAAAAGTGCTCACTCAATCTGCAAAGTTTTGCAATGTGTTTGAACATCCAAAGCATGACATGACCAAAAGGCAAAAAAGAACACGATTAAAATCAACAAACTTCTCCAAGGTGGCAAAATCTCTGGACACCTCTCTTGAAATCCCAGATCTAAGACCAGACCATTGTATAGAAACAATCATAGCATGTTCTCCACGGAGACATGAACACTTTCCCACAATAAGATGCCAAATTGATGGGAAAGATTCAAAGCAACTGACAAAGAAAAGCACAATGCATGACAGTACCACACAATTGCTCCAAACTACCTAACTTAATTAACCAAGTGACACATGGACAAGAGTATATACTGATGGTTCAGCTAAAGATGTAGTGCGAAGAGATGGCGGTGTCATCTATATTATATTGTAAGGTCAAATGGAAAAACCCTTGAAACGTGCATTCCCACTGGCAAAAACTCCTCAAACTACAAAGCAGAAGCCATTCAAAAAGCAGCAAACATACTGTCAGCAGACTTTACAACGTACAACACCCATGTTGTTATTCTGACAGGTGCAAAGTATGCACTTCAGTCCCTGCAAAATCTCAAAGACAGACCTGAACTCACTGGCAAGATCCCTCTTGACACTCTGTACAACTACCTGGAAATGAATTAGCAGACGAACTAGCAAAAAAGGTTGCTGATTTGGAACAAGCTTGCTGAGGAGTGAACCTCTGCGTGTTAAGCTGTATGACTCTTAACCCAGTCTGGAGAGGATTGCAGAGTTAAGCTGTATGACTCTTAACCCAGTCTGGAGAGGATTGCAGAGTTCATATGAACAACGGGAAGAAGAAGAAGAAGAAGAAGAAGAAGAAGAAGAAGAAGAAGAAGAAGAAGAAGAAGAAGAAGAAGAAGAAGAAGAAGAAGAAGAAGAAGAAGAAGAAGAAGACAAATGTTGGGTTCATCCATCACTGCAAGTAAGTAGGCAATATCTGAAAGCTTCTGTTATTTCATAAAATGGCAAAGAAAGTGGAAATAGGGTTCATGACAATCAGATGGTACCATGGCAGATGTCAGCACGGCCTATGTATAATCCCAGCCCTGACCAAGCATTCAAATTTATAGGCTTATATAGAAAGCAAGGTCATTTGAAAGTCAAATTACAATTACAAGAAAAATAATAGCGCTTATCGGCAAATACTTCAAGTAATGTCTCACATACTACATGAAAAAAGGATATTGAAATAAGGTTCAGTTTCTACCCAGACACTGAGAGTTTACATTTGCCAAGAATAATATTGTTGATTTTGGTTTTAATAACAGCGACAGACCGCTCCTTCAGGAATGGACACTTCTCCTGAGCCTGTCTGATTTGCATTCCAGACGGATTTGTTTTGGTGACAATGTTCTCCTTGAACTGAGTGCAGAGACTTGTTTCTTCCTCAAGTGACCATCTTTTCCTTCCTTGAGGTTTCTTCGTTTTTTCAGACATAGACAGTCTATCATCCACAGTCCCAACATCCTCCAGAGTCTCTACTGCAGCACCAGGTTGGCCAGCATCTTCTCCCGTGTGCTCCGAGCCAGATTCCTTTGCAACGTTCAAAGGCTCAAGATCATCCTCCTCCTCATCTTCTCGGTCTGCTGTTGGGAGAGGGAGCTCTTCCACTGGCATAGATGCTAGGTTTCTCCCTGCAAATTTTGTTAGATTTCCATTTTCAAGGGCAATGAGTGCTCTAGCAACTTTAGTTTTCTCCAGCAGTGAAGACTGAAGTCTGTAGACATCAGTGTGAACGGCCACTGAGTGTCCCATATGATCAGCCACCATCTTAAGCTCGTCACCTGTCATATCCAACAACTGGATTGTTGTGGCCAAGTACTTTCGGAGTAGCCTTGTCCTGATCAGCTTTGGACACTCCAGTCCAGGACACTTCTCGGTCACATTCCGCATGGCACTACAACCATCCAACGGTGAACCAGAAGGTCGGGCGAACAGGTAATCAACGGATGGATCGATTCCTGCATTCATCCTCGTCTGGATTAAATGCTTGCAAGCCTCTAGCATCTCATCAGAAAGAACTACAAACACTTTTCTAAGTCCTCTTGTGCTCTTGCCACGAACTTCAACTACACTCATTCTCTTGGCTAGTGTCCTCTCCGTGATTCCCATTTGTGCCAACATTTCTTCATTGTCAGAGTCAGTTTGAATTTGGCGAATGTCTGACACTTTCAACTGCTCCACTTCAGATACACGTCTTTTGTTAAAGAGCAAAATCCGCACCATGACAACCTCTGCAGTATCAGTCCATTCCTGAGGAGACAATTTTGCCAGGCTCAGACTCTTCTTGATCTCTTGATCGAGGAAATTCTTCAAACTGACCATGTCAGTTGTCTTTGGCAACTCCACTGCCTTGTTCAGTGTTCTCAGTTTCATTCGCCTCAATGCTACAGCGGACACATAATTGTTCCAATGAGCACCGATTAGGAGGCTGAAGTTGTCTGCATCCTTCCTGGCCTCGTCGTCTTCACCCTGAAGGGCCAGACTCTGCTTAAGTTGTACAATTTGTTTGATGTAATGACCCAACGTGAGTGACAGATTGGGTGACTCCAGGCCCATGTCTCTCACTGTTTCTACTATCAGCCGGAAATGTGTTGGTTTGAGGAAAGCTGACAAGTCCAAATCCTGATTTGATTTTTCATTCAGTCTTACAACAAGTCTACCTACAGCCCTCACTTTCGTTCTGATGTTGTCTTTGTCTTTACGACGCTGCTCCTCCAAAGGTCCTAATTTGTGGACAAGCCCTCTGCAGAATTCGCGGATGAGTACATCATGCATGCAGATCTGACGAAGTCCTGGGTTTTTGCTGGTTTCTTTCATTTTGGAGATGATGTCTTCAATTTCACCCTCATCAGAATCCAGCTGAAGGAAAGGTGACAGCAGCATCCTGCTGTTTCTCAGGAAATTTTTGTCAGAGTTCTTTCCAGCAGGACATGTTTTGGAATGTAGGCTGAGGCTTTTTTCAAAAACCCATGCCTTGCACTCTGTGCAAGGGAGATACAATTCAGGCCTGGAAGTTTCTTGGGAGGTGGGTCGCCTGCTTACCGTGATTTCCCCACAACCATTCCTCAAAACCTGGAGAAGAAGAAGCATATTGAAACATCAGTCAATAACTAAAATATGTTTTGTGCAGTTGAGGAAACATTCATTTTAACACTTGTCTGCAACATCCCACAAATTCACGACATGGGGAAAAAAATGATGGCACGCCGCACATGTCTCACTGCAACCACAAAGGAACTTCTGTAAAAGTAATTTCTGTGATCAGTTCTGCAGAAACTGTTTTAACTGTTAAACAAATTAATTCGTCAGTTTATGCACATTTTTGTACTCTATTTAGACTCTTTGACTTCATTTTGACATGTGCCTGTGGAGATGGGAATGGATTTACTGCTGGAAAGGTGGACATTCTAACTGTATTTTAGAGCTTCGTGAGTCAGTATTGGTAAACTTGAAAGAATTCAATGGTACTGGTTAGAATTTCGATGTTTTCAGCAGATCTACACACAAACTCACACACACACACACCGCACCCATGCAGGCACGCTCGCATGCACGCACGCACGCAGGCAGACATGTACGAACGCACACACACACACACACACCCACACAAATAGATAATTTTACAAATAAAACACCAGCTTAACGTTGAACAACCAAGTAAGACCAGACGAAGTATCAAGGTTTTAACTTTAATAACTTTGGGACAATCTCTTTATTCTCTGACTTGACCTAACGTAGCAATGCACAATCTCATACTTATGATAACAAATTAACTTACCTGAAGATGGGAGCCACAAATTTGGTAAAAATATGCACTTGATCATGTTCTTACAAAGAAAATAGATTTTAGCACAATAAGGATGAGAGAAAACTTCAGTAAATACCTATCATGAAAATAAATTGACAAAACTCAGTTATTGCTGACCAAAAATTGTTGATTTTGAAAGAATTAGGGCCCTACAACAACAAAAATTCCTTACCTCGCAGTTATGCTCGTGATTTCCTGCATTTTGTAGGAGGATCATGAGCCGTTTCCTTTCTTTCGAGCCTATAGGCAATGACACAATGTCTTTCACCTTAGCCTCCTTGGAATGGACAGACAGGTAATGGGCAGATATCTTTGAGACATACATCCCCTTGCAAAAGACACAATAGTCTGGCTTGCGATAGTTTCTTTTACTCCCGGATTTAGGATCCCCAGCGATTTTTACTGAAACAAAAAAAGGGAATGACAGAAAATGTCATAATAAGCTGAATGTACAAGGTTTGATGTGACACACAGAAACTGAAGTTTGCCATTTTTGTTTTTTAATCTGGACGTCATAAAAGTGAACAAAGGTTATTGCCATAGAGTAACAACATGGAAATTTAGAAATTCATAGTTCCCTGACACGTTAGACATGCCAGTAAAATTTAGAGACAATCAATGACATGGAAGTTGAAAACCATAATGCAAAATAAACAAACAATTAGAAGAAAAAAAGCCCACACTCAAAACTGATGAGAAATACATTACCTTTTGCGAAAGCTTTTCGAAGCTGGCTTTGAGATGGGGCCGTTACTTCAAGAGCGTCATTTTCTGTCAATTGAAAGAGAAAAAATATATGAAGTAAACAATCACTTTTACTAACAGTTTCATAGTGAAATCAAAATGTCTACTTTTCGTCTCATGTTTCAGATATAACAAATAAAATAACACGATAGCCAACGAGGCAAGAACAATATTATTAAAAGCTCCTTTAGTAATTTTCTCATTCAAGCAAGCATGATGATAGCTTCTCTCTCCGATTACCCATTATATTTAAATGGTTGGTTGAAACTTTGATGACAATCTCTGTTCCGTTCCCGTGCTGCACACGGAGGTATGGTAGTCACATTTCAATGGTCATATCTTGCTGTGTGGTTTTGACACATGTTCACTTTTATTCAAATCCACAATCCTACATCCAGTCATAGCTTGTTGGAACTAAGACGTATTAATCAAAGCAAAATGTTAATTCTTCTGACTGAACATTTGTGTTAAGCAATACACTGTTATAAAAAAATCAACATGGTTGGTTATACCGCCTTTTCTTAAAACGTCCTGAAGTGGGAAGTAAATGAAGTGTAGTTGTTAGGTTCACCATATTTCCGGACATCTTACCTGGAGGACATTCCAATGGTTCGACATCATCACTTTGTTGTCGATCAGGGCCAACAGAAGGAAGATCTGAAAAAATAAATTGGACTTTTATTTTTTTGTTTTCTCAAAGGAGAACAAGGTATGTTTTAATCAAATAATACTGTAATGATGAGACCAATTTTGTAACAATTCACCAATGAATCAAAATTCTGCTATGATAACTGAACATATGTACGTCTACAATGACAACAATCCAATCAGAGAGTCGTGTTTTTTAGTTTGTTTTAACTCATTTACCTGGCTATCAACTCGAATAAAGTCAACCTGGTTAGAGACTGACTTTGGGCAAGTACAGATCAGTGTGCCTATTGCAGCCAAATACTGGAGCAGAGCACTGTATCGTGCTTGTACACTAATTACTAAGTGTCATGGTAGACGTCTTGAAATCTTGAAAGTGTCACATTTAAATTTAGGGATCTAATTAATTTTAACAGTGTTCTATTGATTATTTGTTGCATTAGCTGTCTTTCTTACTGATTTTTTTGTTCTCGCTGCTGCATGAATGTGTTTCATGCTTAAGATATTCAGGTGCTTGCTTTTCATTTAGCATTTTAACTTAACTACCGATAATTTTTTTGGGGTGAAGTGGGGACATTTTAATTAGAAACTCATAAAAATATCCATATGTTTCGAAATTGCATTAGCAATTTAGACTTTTGAAAAAATATACCACAGAGTGTACTTGTACTAGCCATCCATACAGAAACAACTTGTCTCTCACCTCTTATACCTTGGAGCATTGGAAATATTTCACTCTGTTCCTGTGACACTACAGATTCTGGGACATCTTCTTCTTCTGGGATAGCTTTTTCTGATGCTGGGAACGCTTCTCCAGATTCTGATTCTGAGCCTGAAGTGAATGGCTGTCAAATCAAAGACAAGTGTAAACAGAAACTTCAAAAATTGGAAGTAAAGTCAAAGAGCATCAATTTGGAGATACCAACAATTATGTCTAACAAAGATTGTGATTCATTCTTTGGGGCAATTCCACTATTTTTGTTTGTTAAATGAAATATTGTGACAAACCCAAACCCTTTTGAACATAACTCTGAATGAAATTGGGGGGAGGGGGAGGAGGGGAGTTGATGCCACTGTGAGGGCACAGAATTCTGTTACCTGTGCTCTTTTGTGTGAGTGTAATTTTTGAAATAAAACGGTCCCAGTGGTCTAATAGGGAAGAAATCCATCCTGGGAAAGGGGATCATGGATTTGATTCAAACCACAACGTTTAAATAATCGGTAAAGTAGCTGTCCGTGCGATGTCCATATAATTTATGAGGACAGTGCTCAGACTGGTATACCTTGTGTCAGCATACCGTGACGGGGGAAGGGTTCTCGGTGTGCTCCCAGTGAGAACACTTCACATATATCAAACACCAAAACAAATAAAATAATCAGATGATCAAATATAATCAAACATCTTTTCATTGTTCTCACATTTCATGTAAAAGAAGGATATTTCAATATTTAAAAAAAGAAAGTACACATACCTCATACTCAGAATGGCTTGAGGACCCACAGTCCATCTCTTCCAGAACTCCCTCTTCTGGACAGCAGGATGATAAATGTAGCCACTCTTTTACCTTATCCTGACAATCAACTGAAATGTTGACATGAATAGAGGGGGAAAAATTACAATTTACCGATGATATTTAACAGTGGTCTCTACCTAAGAATCTTGTTTATCTTAGAACTGCAATTTTAAAAAAGCTGAATAATAAACATTAAATTGTAAAGATTAAGGCTTACCTTTAAGAGCATGTATAGGTACTATGTCAAACAGCCTTCTTTCAAGTAATTAGGGTTGAAAGTTCAGACCGACTGAGGCTGTAATATTCACACCAAGTTTGTTTTTTTTTAACATAGAGGTCAACTATTTAGGGGCTTATCATGCGGATGGGATGTATTATAGGGCGGGTTCATCACACTGGCTGAACTTTTATGGTTAATCGCTCTGTCCGATTATCTCGGTAAGAGTTTGGATTTGGATTGGTTCTAGTCTCGCCAAAATGACATATAATATATACAGTCGTCGCCGCTCAATCCAAATCCCATGGGAACTGAGAAAACTTTGGAATAAGTGAAAAGGCTTCTTTAGATGGGATAATGGTGTATTTGCTTTGTCTCTTCCTCGTGAAATTATTGGAAAAATGTATCAACATTTCTTCATTAAGCCTTTATATAATCTAGATCTATCACATGAACTCTGGAGTCAGAAAGCTGCTTCTCATAAAAACATTGTAGATCTAGATATTTTTGAGAAACGTATCAGTCCTACATCTTACAGCACACTTTTTCGACACTCTTTTACTACTAGATCTAGATTTACCGTTTTGGTCCCTGCTTTCAATGGACGTCACAATGACAGCCCTGAGATTACCCAACATTAGATTTACTTTTTCAAAAGGCAGATGGCCGTGGGGAAATCTCAGGCCAGCAATGGTTAGGGGGACAGAGACTTTTTAGTTATCTAGACTTAGTAGAATTTAGAAGTAGAATCTATCAGACTAGATTTAGATCTAGAGTCTAGATTCTAGATGAATCTCTATAATCTTTTGTCTCTAAATCTAGATCTAGAGACTAGATTAGATATCTAGATCTAGACTCTTGACTCTAGTCTAGATCTAGATTTCTAGATCTAGATCTAGATCTACTAAAGACTAATCATTAGCTGATTAGCTAGATATCTAGATCTAGATCTAGATCTAGATCTAGAATCTAGATTTAGATCTAGGTTCAAATAGAAGGCTTACACTTATCAAGGCTGAAAAGAGGATCTTGAGTATTAGTTCTGATTCATTATTATTGTCACCATGGTGTCATAATGAGGACAATCGATTTTATAATCATCGGTGAGTGACATTCTTCAGTCACAACACTAGATCTAGATCTAGATCTAGATCTATAATCTAGATCTAGATTCTGATTCTACTTCTAGATCTAGTCTAGATCTAGATCTAGATTCTAGATCTAGATCTAGTTCTAGATCTAGGTCTAGATGTGGTCAGTGATTATTAGGCTAATCACGGTCACTTGACTTAGGACAACAGCATTTATTATCTACTAACCTTTAGCAGTAGGAGGTCTCACAGAGCGAGTGGAGTAAGGCCTGCTTGACTCTGGTTGAGCATTCTTCGACAAAGCTGCTTCCAACATCTTTCTTCCATATGAAGCCATTTTGCTTCCCAGTGTAAACAAAGTAACCGGTTCAGAAAACGAAAGCGGAAACAGGAAGTCGGGGTAGGCTAAAAAGAAGATGATAGTTACCTCCCCCTAAAATACTAAAAATATCTTGAAGACCACGATAACTAGGTTTTGGGGATCACAGTGGCGATTTTGTATAAATTTCGATGTCAGACACTGTTGTGAGAAAATTTGTACAGGGCAATTAGGCATCCCAATAAACGTTTTGGCATAGCTCAAATTATGGGGCATTATATATGCCCCACAAAAAAATCCTGCCCCTCAACAAACTCAAATATAGAAAAATGCCCCATATATCCACAGTGTGTAAGTATATATATATATATATATATATATATATATAATTATTATGAGTATATATAATCATTATGTGTGTGTATGTATATACACATTATACATTTTAATTAAATATATTGCTTCCTGTGTGTGTGCAAATTGGATGCTACTGTAGTCTAAATGTAGATACCTAGAGGCTCCATTAGAGCATGAAATCAATACTCAACAACAATAATGATGAATATTTATCTATGTTAAAGAAACATCAAACCATATCATATGAGGGGAGAGGGTAGGGTGGGGTGGATAAGAGTTTGAGTTTTGTTAGATAGAACTATACTCGGTTTAATTCTATTGTTGTAGTCTTCACCTAAGATCCCACAATCAATAATTCCGGTTCACTTAAGATTTTGCTGATAAAAAATAAACTAAACAAAGCAACAACAAATTTTACTACACAAGAGTCATCACTAAGATAAATTATCCCCCTCTGGAGTGTAATAAGGGACTAAAAACGCTGCTCTCCATATCATTATCATACTTTACTGAACAAAAAAAAAAAAAAAACCCTTCAAAGGTTATCCACGCTCATGCATGCGATCACACCTCCAAGGGTGCTGTTATCTCTCTTTTTTTTGAAATCATTGTGCGCTCCACTTTGTGAAAACCAGGAAACAAAATTATTGTGATCAATAATATTATTTATAGACCAAGACATACTGTTAGCTATTAGATAAAGCAAACATCGACCCTCTTTTGTGTCCGCTCTTCCTTACACATAAAGTTAGTTATGGCACACGCCTAGAATCATGCAATCATAATATCTTAAATTCAGTTTAAAAGTATATTTTTTATCCATTTCTTATAATTAAATATTTTAGCATCTTGAAAGATTATCTTTATAATTTGGTATGTTTGATAATTTTATGTTACTCGGACAAGTTTTCTTCTTATTTTACACATCTTTTTTATTTTAAAACTAGATTATAACATAAAACTCTTAAAGAATTGAACAGTCCGTATCACACACATAATTTTTTTTCTCCCTGTCATTATCCGTCAGCCCGTCAGTTGATCACAATCTCTCTCTCTCTCTCTCTCTCTCTCTCTCTCTCTCTGTCTGTCTGTCTGTCTGTCTGTCTTTCTGTCTGTCTGTCTGTCTGTCTGTCTGTCTGTCTGTCTGTCTGTCTGTCTGTCTGTCTGTCTGTCTGTCTGTCTGTCTGTCTGTCTGTCTGTCCGTCTGTCTGTCTCACTCACTATCTCTCTCTCTCTCTCTCTCTCTCTCTCTCTCTCTCTCTCTCTCTCTCTCTCTCTCTCTCTTTTATTCAATTTTTCCCATTCTCCTTCGTCCCTTCCCAAGGCCCGCCCCTCCTCTTTCATCCCAGCCCCATCCCCTCTTCCTTGCGTGCATTCCCCCACCCCGCCCACCCCACAACGTGGCCCAGCCCGATAAGATTCTATGAAAAGAAACGCCACAGTTCGTGATTTAGCCCACACTCGGCGGCCATATTTGATCCACACCGCGGCGTACTGCTCGTGCGCCGCGAAGAGAGAGAGGAGGCTCCATTAGT